GGAGTATTATTCATCTGTTATGTATTATTGTGGAGTATTGTACATGTGTAATGTATGGTTGTGGAGCATTATTCATCTGTTATGTATGGTTGTGGAACAGCTATGCATTTAAATGGAGCATTGTGTTTCGTGCTGAGCATAGTTTATAAAAAACAATGTGCAACTTTATCGAGGGTTGTAGCCTACATTTCTCACACATTGTATGCTACGTCAATTGCCAGACTTCTGAATTAAAATGTTGCATGTTATTGATAACTTCAATAGGGTCGAATTACTTAATGATGTCTAGTACCTGTATATAAAATCATGTTCTTTGATTCAACATCAACCAATATCAGGTATAATATAGTATATAGTTTTGTATAAGGGTAATTAAAACGAATTGACTTAAAGTATGAATGTATTAAATTATTTACTGAAACAGTTTGAATTAGTTTGTCCTACTATAATTTGGTATTCAGATGATGATTTGTTTTCTCTATTAAATCAAATATAAACCGTTATTTCAAATATACTGCAACCCAGAATACTGAATCAAGAATATCTGTTGCCATTCATTACTTGGATTTAACCCAGAATTCCGCATGCCGCATAGCTTACACTTTTATATGTATAGTTTATTCATATTGAAATTTAAATGTAAACTTGTTAACGCATTGTAGGTAATTGAAACGGTTTATTGTTATCTATAATAAGTCATAGATCTAAACTATTTCAGTGTAGAATTTGAACCACATGAGTGTCATACCTACCCTGTGATATCTCACAATGGTGAAGAATGTATTAGTATACTAGTTATATACCATAGTCAGTTATCAAATCTTGATTACAACTAGTTGTATGTACCTTGATATATGTAATCAAATGCAGATGTAATGTAGGCCATAATTCGATTAAGCAAAGTCCATTTTACTGTCAATGGGCCTTGAAATACTACATTATCAGTGTTTGCATTTCGTTCACCTCAATGACGCCCTGTTTTCTTTGAAAAATAAGTGTATTTGGTGCTACTCTTGTGGTTTTCTGAGAACATTGGTATTTGTTTTTTCTTTTGTGCTTACAAGGAAATTGGGTGGTGCCTTAATGTATCCCAAGTTTGTTCCGTTACAAATTAATAACTTCATCTTTTGTATTTTTCTTTTTATGCATACAAGGAAATTGCACGATTTTACTTAAGTCCATGTTTATTCAGCTATACAGAACTATATTCTTCAAATATCACTGCAAAGATAGTAGCCTGAAATAGAGGATTGTTCAGAATATGCTTTTTCTGTTGTTGCATTTTGATTGATTCTGAATAATCAAGAGGTTGCTTAGCCGCCCACTCACACCTGGTTTTTAAGTTGCTAAAAATCACCCATATTTGACTTAAAAACTCAGGTAGGTGGGCGACGACTTAACTTTTAAGCGCGTGTTGCAGGTGCCCACAATACATGAAAAATTTAAAAAGATTATCATGTAAATCTCCTTACAATTATTTCTTACGCCATGTTCCATTGTTAGAAATTTAACCTTGATTTAAAATTGATTGACATGTTCTTTATCTTTAATCCTTCTTAATCTTATAATCTTTTTATCTCCAGAAAATATACAAATATTAGAATCATCGATCATTCTTAAAATGAATAATATTTTGATTTTGAATAGTCATCAATGAAAATTTAACGGCATTAGTTTAAAAAAAGAATGAAATTTGATTCGAATTGTCGAATTAAAGATATGATCAAGTTTAGGTTATTTATTTTTTAATTAAAAGCAATTATCCGAAATTGTAAAGAAACCGTTTTCAATCCACTAAAATGTTAAAAGTCTCCTTTACGACATAGTATAAGATAATGCTTGAACAGTCGAGATCGTTATAGTTTCCGGAATTAGACAGTTCATAAGGTTGACCTTGAGACTGTCAGAAACTGGATATTCAATGACTGCTAGTCGGTGGCATCTGGCAAAATCTGACCAATCGCAAGATTCGGCTGCCCTGGGAGCGCAGAATAATTATACAAGTTGGCGTTTATTACTATATATCCACTGGTCATGTTCTACTTTGTACCAAAAAATGTGTCTTGTCGTCGACATGACTGCTCAAAATCTTCGACCAAAATCTACGAA